GCTTCTTTTTCATGGAAGAAACGATGTACTTCCGGTCGACTCTTGAGGGCCTTGAGGAGGAAGATGCTGCCGCACAGAGTAGCGAGTCTGGGGCTATCTCGTCATCGAGTGTGATAAAGAAAGTGGAAAGTGGTAATAAGACCGAATTATCAGTTACTGGTGGGGCTGTATTTCCTGATCGACGCAGCTATTTGAGAAGGCTTTACCCCTTTTCTAATATGGAGGGCCGCCCGTCAACCATAACAATGCTCCAGTCCATGATATTGCCACTTCCCATCATCCTTCAGTTTCCCAACGTTGCCTGGGCTGGATTCGCGTACGGAATTTGCTTGTCTTGGTACAACGTACTGAATGCAACGACCTCACCGATCTTGAGTGCCGCTCCATACAACTGGACAACTAGTCAAGTAGGGCTTATATACTTAGGCCCTATCATCGGCGCTGCTCTGGGATGTGTATGGTCTGGAGTAATTGCTGACCGGCTCACACTAATGCTTGCTCGTCGCAATCGGGGTATCCGAGAGCCAGAACAAAGACTTTGGCCCTTGGCACTGTCTGCAATTCTTTCATGTGCTGGTCTCATCATCTGGGGAGTTGGTGCACAATACAATGTCAGCTGGCCAGGTTTGGCAATTGGCCTTGGAACCCTTACATTTAGTGTCGTTACCGGTGGCTCCATTGCATTGTCATACAACGTCGACTGCTTTAAAGACATAAGTGGCATGTCAACAACTTCCGTTATAATTATCCGAAATACCCTTGGCTTTGCGATATCGTACGGAATTACGCCATGGTACACAAATATGGGTCTCCAGAGTTGTTTTATCATGGCAGGTTTCTTGTCTCTTGGATGTACGGGCACATTCTTGGTCATGATCTGGAAGGGCAAGTCACTTCGGCGCCATTGTGCTGCACGCTACTGGCACTTGGCTCAAAAGGGGATTAAATTATCAGAGTAAAGATGCGTCAGCACTTGTGTAACATCTTCCGGCAACCCCTAGACACATTAAATCCTCGCACAAGACTTTTGCTTCGGTTGGTCCGTCGAAATTATTATTTCTTATCTACCTAGATTATATACAGACCTTAGATCTAATAACTTGCTCCCTTGAACCCAAGTCTTCTCGATCGGCTCTTTCACATGACACTGATTGAAACTTGAAGTAATTAGGTATGTGATTGCCCTGCTTACGAATGCACATCCTCAATTTCGCTCCAGACCAGAATTATATGCGCCAATGGGACACAACCTAATAATCTTCCTAGGTGTGCCTGTAGACAAGCGTTGTTCGTACCTTTGCGTGTCGTTGCATACCATTGCACATGGTGATACAGATGACTTGAGACGAATATCCGGTCGCGGCTAGGTCTCATGGTGAAGTATAAAATGCGCCCTAGTGATGTAGTGGTAGCCCCCTTGCTTTGATGGAGACTCAACTCACAGCGTTGTTCGCTGCATTAGGAGCGATATTGCCTCTAGCACTCCAGATACCCTCCAATTCACTTAATATCCTTTGGTTCTCGCCATAGCCCATGCGATGCTTTGTATAAGAAAGCACATCTCTTATCAGCATGATATCCCCATCAGCAGTAACGGCATAGCCGAAAATCAACATCGGCCAAGTTCCCAGATAGCATCTGCTCCAAATTTCGCAAGCCCCTGGCTGACGTAATATGGAAAGAGCACGGGCGGTCTGCCATCGATAAGTTTCATCGAAATATTGATCCGTGTCGAGCCTTGTCGGTAAGGTTCCATCCAAGAACCAGGCCGATTCAACGGGTGTAATGGCATTAAAGGACTCGATTATCCAGTCGAGAAGCAGTGAAGCTGCGAGAATGTAGAGGGACAAAGTGTTCGTGTAGAAACTCTTCTCTGCTTCAGAGGAGCACTCTCGAGTATATTTGTTGAAAAACCTAGCTTCCCATTGCCTCATTTCTGCTTTCAGACGTGATGCATCATCGTTCCTTTGGCTTTCGCGCGCAGTGTGAAGATTAATGATATCGAGGATGAAGCGGTATAGCAAATGAGTGGCCCCTAGAACAGGACTAACATCGGAAGACGACGGGTGCGTATTGATTTGGGAGTTGAGTAGGTCCTGGATGTCAAGCAGGAATTGCGAGTCGATATAAAAATTAGGTGCGAAGGGTCTTCGAATAGAAAGCAAAAAGGCTTGATATAATATACTCTCAGCAGTAAATTGATCAAATATGCGTCTTATAGAAGACTGATAAGTTGTATGCTCATATTTCATATTAAGCAGCTTTATTGCGCCCGTGACGTGTCTCCTTGGGTCGACTGCGGCATCTAGTCCCCATATCTGTCAACACATATATCAGTAAGTAAGACAATAAGTAGGGTTTTGACTGGTCGCAGAAAATTACATACGTCATGTAGATACAGGTAGACCACTGTGGTTACAAGTGAGTCGCCGGGAACTTGATGGGGCAGACACAGCTTGTTTAATTCTTGGTTTGCGTGCCAGACAGCTCGAGAATAGTAGACAAGAGCAAGCTTTTCGTAGCGATTGTTGCTGGAAAGTGTATACTTGTTGGCAGCGGAGGCTGCCAGCACAGCGCATTTCACGCCTGGTGACTGCATCATCATGCCGACCAGTTCGGACTGATACTCCACGAGGTGCTTCCTGTTCCATGTTGGTAGCACAAGAACAGAGATGAAATTGTTGAGAAAATGGTAGATAAGCTCCACGTCATCTTCGCACTCGATTCCGGCCCTGTCCAAGCTTTTATTGAAGCCGAGGTTGATCCATGGCTCTTCCTGATCAGCATTACACGTGGGCGAGACGATATCGCCACTACTAAACGACGGAGAGTATTTCTGGCCTGCTCTGGGCAAGTTACGTCGATCACAAAGATCATTCGAGGTGGGCCAGGAACAATCATGGCCGGTATTGGAGCAATTCTGGCAACAAGGCCTCTCCTCGCCGCACTTGACTCTCCGTCTCCTGCCTGCGCCACGCTTAGTGATTGGTGAAGGGGGGAAGACGTAGAGAAGATAACTGACAGGTAAAGCATCCAGTCTTGGTGCGTAGTTTTGCATGCTTCATGATATTGGTTATGCTTGATGTTTGAAATAGATAACGCACCGAAGCCAACTTGGGTGACTTCCGAAGAGCGGAGAATGTACGGTTTATCAAGTGTGCTGGGACCGGCAGCCTGGGGGCGCCATTAATAGTAAGATCGAGATAGCCATGGAACGGCCGAGATAAGAGCCAGTCTAACCATTTCTGGTTAATCTCTCTAATCCAGTTAGTGGAATTAGAGACAAGCATGCAAATACTCTAAGCACTTTGAAGCCCACCTCAGCGTTCATAATTTACACCAATAAGTATATCGTAATGGTTGCACTTGTATTGCACGAAATTCTTGCTCTCTATTACTTCATATGCGCCACCGTCCAACAGCAGTCATGCCCCAATGAAGCCAGAGGCTGCAGAAATGTCTTCTTACGAATGCTCCCCAACACCTACACTCGTTCCTACGCAACAGCGAGCTTCACTAAGTTTATCGCAAATGGCAAGAGATCTCCAACTCAAACGCAATTCCATCTATTTTCTCTATTGCATACTATGAAAACGTGACCTGTCTAGAATCGTGATGACGGACCGCACCATGCTAAACTAGTCCGAAAGGGGGCATCGAATTATTCGATACCGCGAACGTCGAGATTTCGTCCTTGGACGATTTTTGAGACTACTTCAGTCGCGGCTACTGTTTCTTCATCACGGAAATGTTTTCCTACTAGTTGTAACGCAATAGGCGCTCCCGCAAAAGTCTCTGGAACGTCTTTTGAGATCCGGAGTAATTAGCTTCAATGCTTCCCACACTCATTCTAAAGCCAAGGCGACAGCGACTCACAAGTTTCGTACTCGCGCCTATCTTTGTCTGAACGAGGCTCATATTCCTCCTCTACCACGTCCACTTCCGGTTCAACCTTCAGTCCCGTGGGAAAGGTGATACATGGCTGATCAAGAATATTCCATACGGATGTGTATTGGAAGTATTCACACGATGCCAACTTCGCACCTGCCCCGATATATGCAGGACAGAGAATATAATCGACGCCGCGTTCCTTCATAATGCGGTGATAGCTTTCAGTCATTAGCATATTGGCTTCGTGGTTGTGGGACATTGTACTCACGTAGCTCGATAGTTGTCTCGTCGAACGTTTAGTTCCCAGTTTTCTGTTATGGACAGGGGCTCAGGCCTGGCTTCACTGAAAATCCATTCCGTCAAATGTGCGATCGGTTCGCCACTCTGTTCCAAAATATCCCTTTGCGTTCGGGCAGCATCGGGAAAGTAAAGGGCGGAAATAATATCCCAGCCTTCTTGATGATTGTACGGCTCGAAATCGACAACTCTAACACCGGCTTGCTGCAGCTTAGCTACGGCGTGCTTTAATGCACGAAGCACGGGCGGGTGAGGATGAACGATCCTAGTCATCTCACGAATTAATCTTAGACGTGTCGCGCATATACTTGATAGACCGCAAGCCAATAGAGTGGGGAAATAGTTGGCAGGGCGCTCTCTTCAAGACTCACCCATCATCCCATATAACACCGATCGTAAGCTGGTGAGGCCTGGGTGGTGCAACCTTTTTCCATGGTATTGGAACCAGCGAAACTTCTTCTTCCCATGGTGCTTGGTCTAGAAGTACCCTCTGGAAAAGATCGAGGTCCGCTGAGCTGTTAGCTAACGGCGAGATAACAGCACGAATGCTTTCTTGCCCAGCACCAGCTGCACAAACACCATTCATCGGGTTCCGCAGAGCAGTCGTACGAAGACCGTATGCACCACAAAATGCTGCTGGAACTCTGACGGAACCTCCAATATCGGTGCCGATTCCTAACACAGAGCAGCGAAGCCCAAGACACGCCCCCTCGCCACCGCTCGAACCACCTGCCGTGAGACCTCGATTGTAGGGATTGACAGTTGTTCCGTAGATGTTATTGCTACAGTCAAGGTGCTGTTCAAGATTAGTCTCACTATGTTACAGAACATGATTGTCTAGGTGATCTAAACCAAAGTGTGACTAACCATGACACTCTGTGGTTCGTTTGTCCTGACGTGAAACACAGCACCGGCTTCTTTGAGGAGACGAATGATCAGTGCATCTTCCGAAGGAATGTGATCAATCCAGGCAACAAAACCCGAGTGGGTAATGCGGCCCTTGAGACCGATATGTTCCTTGATCGAGATAGGGATTCCGTGTAAAGGACCCTTCAGCTTGCCAGTTGTCTTGAAGTATTCATCCAGCTCGGTTGCAGTAGCCAGCGCCTCTTCTATCATAAACTCGGTAGCAAAATTCACCAATTGGTGAGCAATATGTGCACGCTTGAGGAAAGCTGTGACAGTCTCAACGGCTGTCAGGCTTCCTGTCTGCATGTGATGGGTTAATTGAGTTCCGTCACTATTGGTGATTTCCAACTCTTTAGGAGATAGCCGGTTGCAGTTATCAATGAATGTAGATACATTGAGCTGTGCTGCTGGGGGTAGTTCATTTGGGGGCAGTAACCAGGCCGTATTCAATGAATTTTGTAGGATTGCTCGGCACTTTCCGGCTTTGATCTCCCAAGAAGCTGCCATGGTGTTCAGAAAAATTGGTAATGGTATAATAGCATCAGAAATAGATCTGCTCATGAAGAGTAACTTGAACTCAAGATAAGGAGACGAGCGATGGTAGGGTTTCAAGACCATCTCTTGATGATCGATCAGAATAAATGCTTGTTATTTAAGTCTGATACTATAGGAACTCGTTCTCTTCTACATTGTCGTCCTAGTGCCGAAGTACTAATGCTATCATAGACACCTTGTGCGGCATACATCCCTGTCTTAGGCATCGCATCGAAGAGCTAGGCTTAGAAGTCGATAGGCTCGTTATTCACTGTAATTGGTTCCTTTGTCTCGTAATTTAAGGTGATTGGCTCACTTCCCTTCGGTCGCAATCCATTATCATTGGCTCACGTTAGCTAAGAGGCTTATTCGATCCATTAGATGTAGGCTCGATAACATTTAATCGATTGAAATCATCCGCGAGAATGCCACCTCTGTCTTTTGAGAAGCTTGGCCAGTTGATTTTAGAGGCACTCCTTTTCTGCTTGATGGCCTAGTGTACCTGTGTCAATAGCGTTATGGAATCGCTTTCGTGGATGACGGATCTCTTTTGTGGAATATTATATTCTATGGAAAGGCTACCCTCCTTTATGGTGAGGATCTGATAATATCAGGTTGTGAAAACTCGCATACAAGTTCTAATGCCAGGACCCAAGCAAGCCGTGGCCGAAGGACTTATGACTCTTTTTTTTGTACCAATAATTTCTTTTCTTTTCTTTGTTTTGTTTATACCCGTAATCATTTATCATATTCTTGAATCAGTTTCTTAAGCGCTTTTTATGATGCTGGCTCTGCTTCGAATTGGATTGCATTGCCTACGAATACAACTAGCACCGCCGCGTAAGCTGCGGTCGCGCCGAGCAGCTCCTGGTTCGTCGCCTTAGAGATGAGGCCCAGCATGATGGAGACTAAGACCGTAAAGGCGACCGTCACTACTATGATGTACTCCTTTTTATGCATGTATGACATAATGGCCATAGGAGCCAAAAGGAATAAACCTCCAGTAAAGGCGAAGATGACTCTAGCGAGGGTATCCACGGCAGGCGATATATGGCGACCATGTCTGCGATGTGCTTCTATGATTTTCTCCATGCCCGCTGATGAGTGGCGAATCGTTAGTCTCAAGCTCGTGTAGACGTATGAGTCGAAGAATGGCACAATATCTGACTTACAGGAAAGAGGAGTCCTGCTCTTTTCGATATCGTCGAGTTTTCTTCTCTCTTTTCCCTCCCTATCAAGAAGTCCGCTGGGCACCCTCAGCTGCAAGAATTTTCGAAGCCTGTCGGGGCTGTCATTTGGGCTTCCGAAACTATTGGTGACTCCGGTGCTGAGGTCGACGAGGTCCAGCGCGTCAGCTGCATACCAGTAACGTGGCTCGTGAAGAGTGGTGGCGAGCAGCCGGCCGACCTTCCGACTTTCCTGCTCGCTAGGCTGTTTCATGGCCAGTAGCGCCTTATATGACTTGCAGAGAGATGCTGTAAAATCAACGGTTAGAGGTTAACCAATGTTAGCATAGGCTTCAGGCCACTTACTATAGTCTTCGAGATTCTTCACAAGGTACCGCATCGAGCTGGGAGTGAACTCGCCTCGCGACATGCTCTCTTCTGTCAGCACTAACTTGTGCTGTAACCACAGTAGGGCTTGGATGATGGCCACGTCAAATCTTCGGAAGGCCCGGACTGAGTCTTCGCCTGTCTGTAGTGCCATGTCGCGGCACATCTTCATGGCAACCTCCGGTCTCAACGCGTCCAAGTCAGACTCTCTATATCGTTCCCACATATGTGCTAGAAGGTCACGCCGCTGGCGGCTGTTGTGGAAGTCATCACACGGCAGTAACGGTCCTTTCAGAAGAGACCTGTAGGTTGTGGTAACGCCGGATGCCACGGACTGACTGTCGGAGTCGACTTCCAGAGCCGACCCAGATAACCGGCTCGATAAGCTCACAGTGTCATCGAGGAGGGCTGCCGCCTGCTTTGTAGAAGTTGAAGACGAAGGTAGCGGGCCATCAGAGTCTCTCTTGTGCCACTCACTTCTCTCCTCCATCTCTTTTCTCAATAATTGACTGGTGATGGAGGTATCGTCGTCAAATATCGGCATAGGGCTTTTGCCTTTTTGTTCATGGGCATTCTCGGGTTTGGAAGGCACCAGCTGGGCGATTGATGTTGAAAGACTGCCTATCTTATTGGATATGGTGGATAGCACTGCAGCAACTTCAGCTGATGGTGCTGTGCTCGCTATCGTGTCAACCGTGATGAAAACGCGTTCATTGGCGATAGTCACGAACTGCACGAGGACGTCCGGCCCCACAGTCATTAGCTTTCTACTCCGGGAGAAGTTGTGGGAATCTCGTTCGTGGGTGCTTATGTTGAAAACCGAGTCGCTGACGACATCGCATTCTTTTGAAGAGCAGGACCATCCTGATGATGGTGGTAGAAGGAAGTCCTTAGACGAGTGATAACCTGAAGGTAGACTAGCCTTAGAGATATCAGTGATCAGTCTGGATGCAAGTAGAGATGCTGCATAAATTCTGGCTTCCTCGTCGTTGTCATGTATGGACTCTACATGCCTCGTCAGTGTGTCCTTGGAGAGGAGCGGCCTTTCGTCGCATGCAGAGCAGACTACCGCGCTCCATTCAGGCACGAGTGTTAGCCACTCCCACGGTACAGTGCAGTCCGTCTTATAATCCTTCTTCGTCCAGACCCCTCCGACGTCCTCTGTGACTGCAGCAAACTTCAACTCAAAATCAAGCTCTTTGTTGTCGCCGTCTCCGATGGCAAAATAAATCCCGTCCACACATTGCACTCTCTCATGAGCAACGCCATGATGATCGCTGTCATGGTGGGGTGACGACTGGAACCAACTGTAGCTTTGGGAGAATACACCGCAAGAGCATTGCCACCCGTTGACTGGCCGTTCCAGAAAAGGCCTTTCGCGCAAGCCTGGAGTCGGGTTCTTGAATTCTGCAGGAGTCTTAGCGAGACCGTACATGGCAGGCAGAAAACGATTGAGCATATCGTCATATTCCCCAGAGTGAGAAGATGGAGTTCTATGGAATCTAGCCAAGTGCGGTCTGACGTCCTGTCTGCTCAATCGAGTCGGAGCCCAACGGTTGTAGTTCTGAGGTGGTTCTTTCACGCATTTCATGCATATCAAAGCTTGGCACTCTCGCCAATAGTGCAAACCTAGCGACCGGAGACTGTCTTGAGCCTCCAAGGTTACTTCAGATGTATGGTGTTCATCGTCAACGGTGCTATCTTGGGCAGTTTTGTTCTCCTCGGTATGACATGGGCGAGAAGATAACGAGGCATCCCGAGAGTTGCTACCCCGAGACTCGAGGTGGCTAGAACTGCGATCGCCGAACTCAGAAGGGTCTTGATTCGAGTCCCAGTCATCGTTCAGTTGTCTATTCTGTGTACCTGAGGTTATGTCGCCGCCATCATCCTGAATTTCAGGCATTATTGATAATTTGCGAGCAGCCAACTCTGTGCGAAGATTCTAGAACTTGCCGTTTGGCCAAATATCATGCAATGGCAAGGGGAAGACTCCCTGCATTAATATTTGAGACTGCTTGGATGCCTTCCGCGTCTCGGCGGCCTGGTGGTCTGCCCACACTGGGCGAGCCACATTATTGGCGGCGAGGTTTAGTGCACAGCCAAGCCACCACCAGACGCTGCAATGTGCAATGTGCCATTTCATACGGCATGAGGAATTGATTTGTCGCGATGTTTAGCTGAAGACTCCACTTGGTAATGCAAGACGATGAGCCATTGGATTGGTATCTCAATAGCTTGAGCTCTTTAGAGGCAGTAATTACTAACATCGTCGTAGAAAGTGCCTTAGTTTATAGCTAGTTTTCCAAGGAGAATATTGACAGCCGTTTTCGTGGATGACTTGCGGAACACTCCAATGCGCAGGGGAATGACCTCCACAGAAGACGTCAAGCAGGGGCTAACGAGCTGAAATGCATCTAAGGCGACCGAGCTCAGCAGGCTGCATATGTAATACCATGGAATGCAGAGAGTTGCCTGGTGACTGGCTGAACGAACCGAGCAATCTGTGCACCACCAAACACAGCCGCTTCAGCGGCAGTCTTGACGAAGTTCCCATCATTGATTGACAGCACAAGGAGGCGCAGCAGACAATGCCTTCTGGCCGCGAGGCTCTGGTTTCAGGTCACTCCGTCATCTAAGAAGATCCTGAATTTGTCCTTAATATGCCGTTTCGTTCAATTAATCTCGCGATATAATAGTGAAGCTAGTAGGTTGGCAGTCGGCATCGTGGGAACCGGCAGGTATATTTCGCGGCTGCCTGGATGTTGTAGAACGACTTGACACTTACAAAGACTTCGACTTGGGCCTGCGCGTTATCATTTTCCTACGTGATGCGGATGGTTGTTTGAGCAATGGGACAACCATGGTGGCTTTAAGGCACGAAACTTAGCGATGACTGCCATGAGAAGTTGAGCGATGCGCCGACGTTAGCGGCGGGATGGTTCTATTTCAAAATCGCAGGTTATATTTCTTTGAATGCGTTCAAAAGATTTCAGAAGGCAACCAGAATATCACTCCATCCGAATCTCTCTTCGTTGAGATGGAAGCCTCATGTTTGTCATGTGCAATACGGCGCATGCCAGAGTTAGTGTTAACACCTGCGAATGACGTGGATGGGGCTGACGTCGCCCGCCAGCCAGCCGGCAGGCACCAGCACCGGAGCTTATCTTGACAAGCAGACATCGCACCAACAACTTCACGCAACCAAAGGTATCAGTTCGGAATTCATACCACCCGACGACCACAGTCATCGCAGCCTGCGCGCAAACCTCGTGTTTGTTTGCAGTGTCCTCGCGCCCGATGTTGTTTGCCAGGTAGCGCACTGCAGGCTACCGCCGCTTGTCGCCCCGTTCAGATTCGAGAAGCACCTCTAATCGAAGCACGACGAAGCAATCGAGCCCCTTCCATCATGAGTCGATCTCCATCATCGTCGGGACTTCTGCCCATGCCAGGAACGCCGGCGTCCTCTTGGGCGGTCTATAGGGCGCGATTTGCCAGCATCTTTCGCAATGCTGACACTTCAGTGCTCGTCGCATTCTGGCTCTTCGGTACGTCGTTCATCAGCCCCCAAACGTGTAGCCAGAACAGCCATCTTGTTCTAACGTGTCGTGTTCAGGCCTCATAAACAACGTCCTCTACGTCATAATTCTCTCCGCTGCCCAAGATCTCGTTGGAAACATTCCGAAAGGCGTCGTCTTGCTCGCCGATGTCGTACCGTCGTTCCTCACTAAGCTTGTCGCGCCGTACTTCATCCATCGAGTCCCATACGCTGTTCGAATACTGGTCTTTGTTGCGTTGTCGTCAGCGGGAATGTTGTTAATTGCCCTGACACCAGCGACTCAATCCGTTTCTGTCAAGCTTGTGGGAGTGGTTTTGGCAAGCTTGAGCAGCGGAGGCGGTGAGCTAAGCTTCCTGGGTTTGACGCATTATTACGGGCATATGAGCCTTGCGGCTTGGGGAAGCGGAACAGGGGGAGCAGGCCTCGCCGGAGCCGGATTGTATGTGATGCTCACAGGGTGGCTAGGGTTCAGTGTTAAAGGCAGTCTCCTGGCCTCTGCGTTCCTTCCAGTGATCATGCTGATCTCATTCTTCTTCATCCTGCCTCGGGGACCACTGCGACAAGGCTCGGCGAAGGACTATGAGACAATACCGGAAAGAGACTTGGAAGAAGACGAGATCGACGATATCCCAGAAGGCACTGCATCGTCGAGTCTCTTGGCTCCTGGGCCAAGCGTTGCTTCTACGGCATACTCGACGCACTCTCAGGATCGCAAGGCGTCCTTCGTCTCCAACCTCAAACGCGCTCGATCTCTGTTCTTCCCTTATATGCTGCCTCTACTACTGGTGTACATCGCCGAATACACCATCAACCAGGGCGTGTCACCAACGCTGCTGTTTCCCCTTGAGTCGTCACCGTTCTCCGAATTCCGCGCGTTCTATCCTTTCTATGGGTTCCTCTACCAGCTTGGCGTCTTCATCTCCCGCTCGTCAACACCGTTTATCCGCATTCACCACCTGTACATACCCTCGTTCTTGCAAGTGGCAAACTTGGTCTTGTTGACGCTGCACGCTTTACTCTACTTCATCCCCACTGTATATATTGTGTTCGTAATCATCTTCTGGGAAGGCCTCCTCGGTGGTGCTGTCTACGTCAATACTTTCGCCGAGATCATGGAGAATATTCCCTCTTCTGAGCGAGAATTCAGTCTGGGGGCGACATCTGTCAGTGATAGCGGTGGCATCTGCATCGCAGGCTTTGTTGGCATGGCGATGGAGGTCTGGCTTTGCGACTGGCAGGTCCAACATGGAAGAGAGTGGTGTCGACAAATCAAAGCCAGTTCACCTTAATAGATACCACTCAGTTTTGTGTTCTACAATTAAAACTAGTAATAAATCATCTAAAACGGCACGGTTGACTTCGTTCGTTGTACAGATCTCGTAGCCACCAATAATTGTCTAGCTAGGATGCATCCTGGGCATCTTTCCTACTCCAGTGTTTGGTTCTATGGACAACGTGTATTTCAGGTGCTCTCCATTTTGGATTTTGCCCCTGGATTCTTCTTGCTGAAGTCCTCACCAGTGTTCCTATCCTCTTCACTTCTCGTTTTTTGCATCGTATGATGCTCTTGTTGGGCTGATTCTGTGGCCAGTCGTACTCTGAGAACTCCACCAGTAGGGTCACCTTTTTCAGTTTAGGGAATCGTCGAAGAAACCCTATCCCTTCATCTACAGAAGTTTCGACCCAGCATGGTCTCAGTCCCCAGTCCATCACCAAGCTTTGTAAGCCCGCATATGCAGTAAATTCAGCGTCACTGATATTATCTATAGAGGTCAGTTCATCGAACCCGTCCATACTAGTTAGGTTAGTGGTCGTGCAATAACTGACATCCTCTAGATATCCAGATTGAGTCTCTCGTCCAGTTGATGTAAACTCCGTCTAGTGCCGAAGTAAGTTGATATTTGAACCCGGGTCGGTCATGCTTCGCTTTATTTCTTGTCAACCCGTGACGACTCTCTCGACACGCCTGTAGCACAGCCGGTGTTCGTCTAGAGAGAATGAACCTCTGCTCATCGTTGTTCCAAACTCGAGGTACGACAGCAGCCCCAGGCAACGCATTTTCCCAGATGGCCAGGCGGAGCTCCGCAGGCAAAGAGCTAAACTGTGGGAAACAAGGCACCTCTGTGCGAGAACTGATGTCTTTAACCTCCAGAACAGAAGTAGAAATGGCGTTCAAATACTCCCAGCCTTCGACAGGAGACATCTTGTGCTGTGGACAACTAACAGAGCTTCAATGAAAAAGGTAGTAGCCACACTATTTTGTCCGCTCGCCCCCAAGAGCTTTGGCGGTATATTTGTACTGTTTGCACCGATAAGATGAATCATTCTATCGCCCGGATTGAGTAGCAAACTCAAGTGAATGTCGTCAGCTCTGATACTTCGTGATCGTCGGAGTGAAGGATTCGGGAGATGGTGGCTATGATCCATTTTCAAGGCTCTGAGACAGCTTTCCAGTTGCCATGACGCATTGGTTGTAGGTCATCTAGGTTGAGTCGACCGAGTTATTTGTTTGACTTTGCTGGTCGTCACACGGCCAACAAAATGCAGCAAGTGAAGTGGCGGCGGGCTGTCGGCGCGAGAGCCCACAATGATAAGACTAGATCCAACGGGCATGGGAAGACAATCTTGCGAAGCGCACAGTGGCTCAAATAACAAGTGGCGTTCTGCAGTCTGCTCCTTCGTCGAGCTTTTTTGTTTCAAGCTTACGAGAGCCGCTTCAGCTGGGCGGTGAGTTATGAAAATGGTGACAACAGTGACGTCGCCTTGTAAGGCAATTGATGCGTCCGTCTTTCATGTGAATGGCCGTGATTTTCGCCCCACAGAGACAAAATTAACGCAAACTAAAAACAAGACTCTCGGTTATCTGTTTCCTATTAGATTTAAAGCCATAGTAGCATGGACGATACATCATCTACTATTAGATATGAACTGTGTAGCTTAGGCTCCATTGGCCAACGTTGGGGCTTTGACATACCTGCTGTCTCATCGCAGCAAACAGCGGGCGGTTCGATATTGTTCTCTTAACATGATATGCGAACAACGAATCTTTCTCGATTAGAACGAGAGTATATCCCAAGTCTAGCTCACAAGTTGTTTTCATCAACATGCAAACTTCCACTCTACATTTTCCCACCCCTTTCTCCTTTTTACCTTGATCTGTCGACTCGCGAAGTCCCAGATAGGTAGCCTTATTGCACGTCCTGCCTCTCCCAGGTTCGACTTTGGCACATGAGCCCCTTCAACTTCGAACCCTAGTGCTACACAGGCTACGACACCGTATAGCTCCGCCAGCGCAAAATATCTTCCGGGACAAAGCGTTTTTCCTCCTCCGAAAGGAATCATTGCACCACGTCTTTTCTTCTCATCTTCTGCAGTCTTGGCAATGAATCTTTCGGGATTAAAGTCGTCGGCCGTAGCACCCCACACCATCTTGTCGTGATGCATAAGTCCAGAGTACCACTGCACAGTCTCGCCCCCCTTCAGTAGATACTCTGTTCCATCTATATCTCGCAGGACCGTGTCTCTCATTACCCTCCTAGTGCCTGTATTATCGTTGTAGACACGCTGTGACTCTTGGTAACAGGCGTGGAGGAATGGACAGTCTTTCTCCAGCCTGGTCATATCAATAGTAGCGATCGTGGCCCGGGAAATCTTCTCGATGGTTGTGAGTCGTTCCACTTCGGACCTTATACGCTCCACGTATTCGGGCCGGGAGAACACGTTCACAAAGTACCAGAACAGCGTTGGAACGGTGTTTGTCGTCCCTACCCACGGAATGACAAGTTCATTCCTTCCCAGCTGGTCATCTGAGAGACCGCAGCGGCGGCCTACTTCTGCGCGGTAACTGACCAATTTCGAGACATCCGGATTCTTGTCCAAGTGAGCGGCAAAATATGAGATCAGCAGCTTCTGAAATTCGCTGCGGGCCTTGACTGCCTTTCTGGCAAAGATGTTGGGAAACAAATCCAGCGCAATGATCAACAACCCCTCTTCATATTCGCTGTAGAGACTCTTGTTAGAATGAGACATAAATAATATGGAATGGTCATACTTGATATACTCAAAAGCATCTGGAGTAATAGGGTTGTTTTCTCCATAGACGGCCAGCATTGTACCTCGAAAGATGAGATCACGAAGCCAAGCAAACACGTCCGGCACTATGATCCCGTCGCCTGGGTTCACCTCATTAAGAATCCTTCCAATTTCTTCAAATGCTTTGGCGTTCATCCTGGACAGATACTCGCCGCTTAGGTATGTGTGGTGCATCTTCACCATCTCCTCCATGTTGTCTCCTTGCCCTAGCTTTACTACGGTATCATGTTTCAATCCCAGAAACTTCTCTGAAAATTCTAGAGTGATCGGCTCAAAGGAAAGGTCTTTACTTCGCATGGCCGCATTGACGAGGCTGTGCTTGTTGATGACATACATCTTGCGATTGAGCAATGGTAGTGTGCATATTGGTAGCTTTGATTCATTGCTAGGCCCCGACATGTTAGGAAGCACCCGGAATCATTTGCTTCGATCTCTCTACTTACTAGAGTTTGATGTAGAATTCGCCGCACTCTCTGACTAAGGAGATGATGTGTCCGATCAACGGGATCCTAGGCCTCAGTACTTTAGGTTCGCGGGGGTCGTATGTCGGGTACAATAGCCTCTTTAGCCCGACAAACCCCAACGTTGATAAAATAACAGTAATCGCGACCGCCACTGACCAAATGCCATCTTGGGTTCCCAAATAGGAAGCGATACTAGACATCGAGGACTCCGTTGAATGATCGGAGACAAATTGAGACAAATTGGCTAGAGTTGGTGATTTTGTAGATAAAAGATATCAAAGACGATGCTCACTTTTTACTTATTGAATTACTTGTTGTATTAGATCTGAGACACTACTAATCAAACCGGCTTACCCAATGGCATCAAGGAAAATGTAATCTTCTACGCCGCTCGGGAGCAGATACACCGTCCCAAAAAGGATATTTATACGCACTAAAGAGGAATCGGGCGCGGACATGGGTACGGAGGATCCTCTTCTGAAGCCTCGTAGGAGCGCTAAAAGCAACAAGCTTGCGGCGCATGTCGTAATTACGCAAGTATTGATGTTGACAGCCCAGTAGGGTTGTCCAGGCCATTGTCATCATTTCGAAAATCGAGATAATAAGCGGATGCTAGGTTTGAAGCAGGCGAGAATATGTTTTTCTCTTGAACATAGCAGAGCTTTCATCAGGAGCAGGTGGTGGTTTAGGTACGCCATACGCCGTGCCGTAGTGTTGGAGCTTAATATTCTTCGCGCTAAATATCACAAGATACGCGAGCGTAGAGTTACCTTCCATATTGTTCCTTGCTGACACTGTTGATAAAGGTTGTCCCCGCAAGTCTGAATGTGTCTGGCTTTGCTGCTGACCCCGATGGGTGGAAATAAAAGACTTGACCATAACCGCCAGTAGCATTGTAAGTCGGCCACTTCTCAGCGGTAGCAACTTGGAAATTGTGTTAGCTTACTCAGTCAAAAAAACACTTGCTACAGGAATCAATGCACTTACTATCGTGGTTATTTGGGTCCAAGTCGTGGATGAAGCTGACCCACATATGACAGACCAGCTTCGCCAGCTCCAATACCGGCCCGGTGGCATTTTCCAGAGGGCTCTGTCCTGATGCGTATCCTAAGCTAAGAGTATTGTAGAAAACGTATCCTATCTCGGCGAAATGCGAAGTGCCGAACGAAGCCGGACCTAAATAGTTATTTAGCTGGGACAATTGATACGGCTGGCTGATAATTAGAAAACTCACGTCCTGACAGAGGAGAATCAAACAAGTAGGCATATGTATCCACTCCAGCCTTTGCCCAAGCATCGGTTTTCGATCTTCTCTGTGACAAGAACAGCTGGTCTGTAGAGAGAGCAATCGCCCGCTTGTACTGACTACCAACGGATGCGCCTGGAGTAGTTTGATATGCTGAAGGTAGGCCAAGAGAGTCGACGTTCGGGTATAGCGACATGAGAATGGTAGTAGTATTGGCATCTGGTCCCAAAGACTTGATGTTGGCCGCGATGATCGCATCTGAGTCAACCGGCGTGGCTGTGAACAAAGTACCCTCATCGCTATTTGTGCCCGCAAGCAGAGGTGTCTTGGTGAATTTGCCCTCTGCGAGAAGATTTGACGAGTAGTCTGGAATGAAGTCTCCATCGACGATTGGGTAAAAGCTTGTTGAGGTGAGATTGGTGATAGCATAATTAAGAGTCTCGAATGGAACCGATCGCAGGCACGCAAGTTTGTCCGCCGCTGTATCACACCCAACAAAGCGAGTAATGTTATTGTATCGTACAGTCGGCGCGGTTAAGTTCTTCGGTTGTGTTCCTTCGGCACCACTTTCTGCGATGATTCCACGGAACAGACCGTCATCTCTTCCACCATAGGCGGTTGTCTGGTACCATACATTGCCTCCCCCAGCGCTTTCGCCCCAGATGACGACCTTTTCAGGATCTCCGCCAAACGCCGCGATGTTTTCTTTGATGAAGTTCAATGCAAGCCGCTGATCTTTCAAGCCGAGATTTGCAACACCAGCATCAAGTACATCCTGACTGGCAAGGAATCCCCACGCGGAGAGTCTGTCTACGATTGCTGGTTAGGACCAGGTGTTAAACGAAAGCTACAATATAGACTTACAGTCAAAAGAAACCGCAATGATTGGTTTGCTTATTTTGACAGACTCATTTACAATGAAACTCAGATTGTAGACGCCATTGGCGCTGTAGTCCATTGTCCAGCCGCCTCCATGAATGAAGACACCGACGGGAAGCTTCGCATCTTTGGTATATCCAGAAGGCCTCACAACGTTGATAGTCAGGCAATCTTCGGAAAGTGTGAACGGCCACGCAGCACTGTTCTACGGGATTCTCAGCTCAGAAGTATAAAAGGCAACTTCTGTCAAGATCACTTACGCCATATCCCACACAAGAGTTTGCATACTCGGTTGCTGTCTTTGTGCGAAAAGTTGTGTTCAGGCTTTGTGGATTCTGGAGACGGAGTTCTCCAACGGGAGGCTGGGCATAGGGAATGCCAAGGAAGAGGTCTTGGTCATATGAAGCAACATGCTTGCCTATGTATGTACCATTTTTGACAGTCGCGATTGGTTGCCCACCACAGGACGACGACTTGACGCCTTGCAGCAGAGGCAATAGGGCAGCGGCAATCTCCAAGATGGACGACATGGCAACCAATGAGCTCGGCTTGCTACATTCCTGTCAATGAAGCAGAAGAGGCGAGCCAAGCCCCTCTTTAAATGCGTATTGGTCCATTTCGTCGCAAGATGTTTTACTCAAAGCTAGAAAGCAAGATTAATTCCCCAACTCTCCCGCACGAAGGAGTGGACCAGAATTAGACAGATGCATACTACCCGTAGTGACTTAACCACGCGCTCATGCTTCCCCGACCCAACACCACGCATTGCCTTTTTGACCCGACCGTTTGGATATCAAGGCGGACCAGCCTCCAAATAGTGGCAATTGCTAACCCGCTTCGTGACATCGGTTGGAGATGTGGAGTCTTTTGGGGTTCGTGCGGGGTATTGAAATCCCCGGATTCGTTGAGGCTCCACCGTTCGCAAATCGCCGCGGCGAAACCCCTGCAACCACCTTCCCGCAAAATAGTCTTGAAGCTCTCCCCTCACTTCTGTTCATTCTACCTGAGGAGGCATGAAGAGGCTCATATTTCCTTATATAGCAGGTTTCAGCTGAAAGTAGAACATCTTTCTATCGTCGAATTAGGATTATAGAATCTAACTAGATCTGCCTCGCTTGACGGCTTGGCGAACTCGTAACGAATAGGAAAGAGATATTTTTTCCTAGGTTACGCATGATTTGGACTTGAGCCGGAACTTTTGAAATGAAAAGCAATCCACACTCGATCTCAATAGGCAGGGAAACAACAAGACTCCGTGACAAGTTCGTAACTATCAAACATCTCAAGAGTCTTTCCATCATAATTTCATGACCAGAAGATTTTGTTGTGATGAGGCATTGACTGTTACACAAGGAAGACGCGAAACTTTGACCAATGACAATGAACTGAAAAATGCCTTGAAGGGTTTGGATACCTGATGTTGAAGGAGGTAGATTACATGCACGTTAACTCTATAACAATCTTTATACTAGACTGAGATCATATCATACATCCATTCACTGACATAATGCACTTGAATGTAACCAATTGATGAAAAGCCGTGTTCAAGTAATCTGTAGGATTGCAGAAATGTCTCTATCCAACAAATCATCTTTATGTTACTTTCACAAACACTTGAAAGACGACGATTGAGGTACAACAATCACCCGTCAATAGTCGGTTGAAATGCTCAAGCTGCCTCCCGGGTTTCAACCTCAACGCCCTTCTGCTCAGCCTCCCTCACCACCTCTGTCAACTCTTGAGCTCCATGGCAGACATAAGTCTTGAACTTGCGTGCCGGGACCTTGTTCTGGAACATCTCTTCGATCTCAGCATAATTGCGACCTTTCATTTCGGGTAGACAGAAGTAAAGGTAGATGCACATCGGCACAGATGGTGCGAAGAAAACGAAGGAGATTTTCCCGCCCAGGTTCGCTTTGTCGGGGTTGATCATGTACGGCATAGTCTGTAGAACTAGGCAGGAGACGGCTGTGGCGCTCATGATATTGATCGAGTATGTCTTCTGACGGTGCGACGGACTGGCAGTCTCACCACCAACGGCGTACGCTACGGCACCAATTGTGGCTTGATACTATTGACGACAGCTTATTAGCATGGTGAAAAGAATTGTCAAGAATCGGAAACTTACCAAGAAGCCCCAGATGGTCATGAAGCTTACTGTAGCTTTCAACGCATCTTTATTGTCTTTCATCGTGCTGATACCGCCGATAATTAGAAGAGCAGCCGTCATAATATTCATTCCGCCAACGATGAGGGGTCGACGACCCAGCCTGTCAACAAGTGGCCAAGAGCAGATGTTTCCAAACAGTTGAACAGCATAGGCCATCTGAGCGAGTCCGAGGGCGTTGTTAACCCCAGCCAGCTTGAAATAGTAGGTCAGGTAGCCAGTGATAAAGTTGACGCCAACGAATTGCTGTGCGATATAGACCTATGCCACATTGTGTCGTTAATAAACGCTTTGTTTCAAAATTGTCCAGTAATTGTCTTACCATGCAAATAATCAGTGTACGGCGGCCGTTTGGCTGTCTGAAACAATCCAACCAAGACGACGCCTTGTTCTGACGTTCCAGTCCTTGTTCCGTCATAACAGCTGCAGTCAGCACTGCCATCGCGCCATCAACATCGAAGTTAGGCCCGTTGAAGGTACGGAATGCTTTAGCAGCTGCGTCGTGACGACCTTTGAGAATAAGCCATGACGGCGATTCAGGAAGAAATGGTAAGCCGAGAAGGAGAATTGCTGGAGGAATGATTTGAGTGATCATTGGAATCCTCCAAGACATGTCGTCGCCATGGTGGGTCTTCGAAGAAGAGTAGACGGCAAGGGAGTTCAACCATTGGCCAAGGATAATCATTGTATTCTATAGAGGAAGTAATCAGCGTCGTGCAGATAGCCAAGGACAGTTTAACTTACGACAAGAGCCAAACAGAAGCCTCGCAGCTTAACCGGAGCCAGCTCAGCGACATAGACTGGACCGAGGGAATGGCCCAGTCCAAAGCCAAAGCAGCTAATCAGTTTACCTCCAAAGAGTTGGGGCACCGTGGCAGCGAAGTATTGAGTCAATATGCCAGCAACACAAATAACGCAGGCAAAAACGATGACCTTCTTACGGCCGAAGAGGTCAGACATATAACCAGTGCAGAAGGCGGACACGAATATGCCGATTGTAGAGGCGGCATTGAGCAACTGTTGGTCGGTAGCTGCAATCACCCAAGTGGTTCCGACTTGTCTGCCGAATCTCTGCAGAAAGGAATCAACTCCGAGAAGATGGCCCACGTTACTGATCTCATAGCCAAAGTTGACTGGAAGCATGTAAATCAACAAGCCTATGTGTATAATCTCATTAGCACGTGCACTGCTTGTGGATCAACAGATGCTAGATTAGACAATGCTTACAGAAACCGAGCACCCGCCTGTTATCCCAAAAGTCTTGCCATGATATCTTCGAGTCTTCACGTGGTGGTACTCGAGATACACCCTGCTCAACGGCATTTTGATCCTGGACAGTCGTTGTAGCCATGGCTCGTTCCCTTGTCGGCGAAAGACAAAACTGATGTGATCGCTGGAGTCTATCTGCGATTGATGTTGCTAGGTCTTTCACAACTTTGCTGTGAGAGACTCTGGCAACGCTGGCAAAGCTGGCAAAGCTGGCAAAGCTGGGAATGTTTGAGGTTTTATCTCCACCACCAGCTAGTGTCTCTAGGCGCTATGATAGCCTCGGCAAGGACCTAGTGTTTAGTACCAATCATCGAAGATTTCACTGCACGCCGAACGAAGACAAGGAAGGTGTTTGTCTTCCTTTCAAGCAACAGGCATTTTCACTGTTTAGGTTCTAGCTCCGGGGTTACTCCAACATTCAAGCTTGGAGGTGGGAAACGCCGTGGAATGAGGAGGCCGGAGAAACCACAAGGCGGAGCCGCCCCTGTCTCGGGGTGGGCATTGTAGACCCTTTGCGGGGCCCCAGGTTCCCGACGGACAAGGAACGGCAAGGAACCCAGCTCACTACCCAAATTCAGCATTTATAAGCGCCTCACCGACGATTGATTGTTGCGATATACGCGTCTTTGGGGGAACTCTATTCCTCGTTAACAAACACCAGTTTCAATCTGAGATGCACATCGCCGGATTGGCTATACGCAAGATTGAAGCGCCATGTTAAATAGATGCAGATTTCTTAGTAGCGCTAAGTCCTCACAAGCCCTACAAGTACTGTACCGCTAGGACGTGTTACCTGCTAAAACATGAGGGTCTGAGCCACATGCTCAGGTAGGCAGTCTCTAGCACTTGACCCTTGGGGGCGTGGAGACAGAGTCCCACTCCAGAAACACGAAGCAATGTCGGTGGCATCTCCGCCCGCTCCAGCTCTTAGTCCTTGCAATTGTACGTGAACAGTTTGCTATTTGCTGTCCTTATTGCAGTGCGCCCCTACTTCTTGCGGATTCAAGTCTTGAACTCTCTCTAAGTTGTTTCATCTCACATCTATTGACGCGAAGTCGCAACGCAATGACTCTGCTGGAGGGCGTGCACGCAAGCGATAGCACAAACCGATGCACGCTCGCTGCAAGAGGCCGTGTCGCGAAGTCTAAACTGATTTCTTGTTCCTGGCGACATCAATCAATTAATCCTCCAATCCTCACCGACGCGCTCATTTCTATGAGCCCATTTTAAGTCGATCGCGGCCGGCTCTTTTTTGAGGCTCCTCATCCAGGTTCCACCATGTGCCACCGAGATTTGAGCCCAAGATTTGGGACTATTTAATTTCGAAGTTTTCCAGGCACAGACGCTTCCATATCTCATACAAGAAAATGGTTGCCTTAAAAAACAGTTATCGTCCACAAAATGTGTTATTCGATATCGCGGGCGGTTTACTCAGGTATTTGCTCCTTCAAAAACGCGCTTGCTTATAAATCGGAAAGGACCTCTTAATCCTAATCTCAATCCTGTTAGTCCGCCGATGGTGTACGAGATACCATTTCGGCAGCCGATTGTCCATCCTACCGGGGACGGGCCTGCTCGTAACTCCGAAGTCCACTGAAAATGCTCGACAGCACGATCGCAATTGCACCGCCGAGGACGGCTCAGCGCTGCTTCATCACAGGCAGACTCCAGCTTAAGCGATACCATCGCTGAAGCTAGTGATCCCGCGTGATCCTTCTCCCCGCTTCCTACGAGTATGCCAGGCACACGATAATTACGTAGTAAACTGTCTCGACCTGAGTAGTTTAAATAGACGACCATCGGGCACAGGAAATACGAAGAGTTAAAGCGATTCGTATCACACCAAGTCCAAAGACGGGGTACACTCTACACGACGGCACACGATTCGCAAGAGCCATGTCTCGATTGAACAAAGTTGCAGTGGTAGGGGTAGGGATCAAGCAGATTTTCGCAAACTATGAAATGACTGACGCCGACTAATACGGCTCGCAGGGTTCTGGCACGGTTGGGTCTGCAATAGTCAAGGAGCTTGTGGGAGATGGTTTCGAAGTCACAGTGTTGACAAGGGGGCGCCCTTCAACCGACTCTCCATCTGGCGTTACAACTAAAAAAGTCGATTATGAATCCATTGAATCGCTCAAGGAGGCGTTGACTGGCAATGATGCTGTCATTTGCACACTCACTAGCTTCGCGGGAGGTATTCAGCCAGCCCTGATCGACGCTGCCTCTGCTGTCGGAGTCAAGCGATTCATGCCTTCTGAGTTTGGTACCAGTATATACGGCCACGACGAGAAAAGCTTTCTAAAAAAGGCTATGACTGGTAAGGCCAAGATAATCAGTTACCTCCAAGGGAAAGCAGAAGAGAACCAGAACTTTACCTGGACGGCTCTCTCGAACGGATTCTTCTTTGACTCTGTAAGATATACTCTTTAATAGAGGCCGTTGATCGTCGAGTATTAATCTGAATTACTCTAGAACCTTCGGAACGGTTTCTTGGATTTTGACGCTAAGACAAAGAGTGCCGTGATCTATGACTCTGGAAACGAGCCTTTCCAGACCACAAATGTCTCATTTGCTGCAAAAGCTGTTGCCTCAATCTTGAAACATCCACGAGAGACGGTAAATCAGTATCTCTCGATATCCTCATTTCAACCGACTCGAAACGAAGTAGTAAAAATCCTTGAGGAGGAGACAGGCACAAAGTGGAACATCACCCAGGAAAGTACTCCTGACATGCAGAGAAAGGGCGAGGAGTCGATAGGCCAGGGGGGCTATGCCGGATTTGCTGCATTGCTGAAAGTGTACGCCTATGGAGACAGTCAAGGCCATACCTTGAAGCCAGGAGAGAGCGCAAATGAACTACTTGAATTGCCCAAAGAGGAGGATTTGAGAGAAACGCTGAGCAAATGGCTTGCAGAAAATTGAGATCCCACCTCAAACAATTTGATCGTAGCGTCTTGAAGCCTCTCACTGAAGTCGTACGGCTAGATTCGGCAGCATTTAGGCGGGAAAATAACCATATATCTATCTAGTCTTGCGGTCTAAAATGATCGCATATTGCTTTCTCAAGCCTCATAACCCAGCTTAGCTCATATTCATCCTCGCTTTTGATAGATTAAAATGATTTGGGACCACAAATAACTCGAGCGAACCTTCGAAGTAGTTATTATTAGCTACCTGCATCTTCTACAATGTCTTCACTATCTGTGTGAACGAATCCTTGATTGTCGTATACACCGGAGTGAACTTTAGTCCCAGTGTGTTTTTAGCCTTGCTGGCATCCAGTTTATAGGTATCCTCCACTTCACCGCTTCCAGGATTTCCTTCTGGTACCTTTGCACCAAGTTCCGGAAATTCCTTCCTGATAGTGTCGGCGGCGATCTGGTACGAGAACTTGGATCCGGTTAGGAACCTTTGCCCTGCAGCTTCAGGTGTCTCGTGGGCAGTGATGATAGCCTTGGCCAGGTCTCTAACGTCGATGAAACCAGCGAAGTCTGTCGGTGGTACAGACTCAGCACCGACAAGGTTCCAAAGCAGCTTCAAGGACTCATTCAGGTGATCAACGCTGTCGATTTGGCTCACATATGGGCCAAATACCCATGGGGGAGTAATTGTTGTCAGTGCAAATTTGATAGAGTCCTTGTGTCTCTCCATCCAATCCCACATGGCCCGCTCAGCAATTGCTTTAGACGCACAGTAGGCCGTGACAGGATCAGCTTTGGTAGCCTCCTCCCAGGTCATGGGGTTCCAGTCTTTCTCCGAGTAGACGTATCCCGGGCGCATGCCCTTTGACGTATCAACCACTGATGCGAAAGACGAAATGTCCACAATTCGCTCGACAGACGGGCCGTACTTCTTGATTGCCTCAAGAATTGCAAGAGACCCGGCCCTCGCAGGTTCGAGAAGGTCCGTGGCGATGTCATTTGGGTGAAAATTGAATGGCGAGGCAAGATGGACCACGCCCGTGATGTCCTCAAAACTGGTGTCGTACGACTCAGTCTTCGTGATGTCTGGTACAACATCGTATATAAGCTTGTCTCCGGCCTCTGGGAAGCTGGCAAGAAGCCTGTCACCCGACGACTTGGATCGAACAGTTCCCCGGATCTTGTATCCCTTTTCCAAAGCTAGCTTTATGACATGGCCAGCTACATAGCTGTTCGCTCCGGTGACTAGAAGATATCCGGCTGCCATTGTGGGTCTCATGTATTGTGCTTTCCCTTTTCTTGCTGTGGTAGTAAGGAGATAAGTGGTGAAGCTGAAGCCATGGCGACGGGAGACCGGGAATGATTTATATCTGCTTCAGACGCCAAGAAGGTTTGGCTAATGATACTTCGAAAGCAAGGATCGGATGCATACGGAGAGCCTTGTCGTCTCCAGACGAGATGCATTGAGCACGACTGACATCATTCTCTGTCGTGCGCTGTGTGACGGAACAAACTGTGGCCGGCTTGCTCAGGTAATAGGCTATTGAGGCTGCACCTTTGGCTCGTTGCTGAGTAATGACCTACCTACACGACCCCTGCAGACGCCTAACGCCGTATCCTGACTGGCTAGCGTGGCCAATGTCCGTTGGAGATAAATGCTGCACGGTCGTCGGCGTAGGGGTTATGATTGATTAGTTTGCACTGCCAAGATGCTCCCTCAGCCCTATCACACTGGGCCAAACTCAAAACCGTGCTGCGAGATAGTTTTTTAGCGATGAGCAAACCTGAGTCCCCCCGATACGAGAAGCGATTTGGCTGATTCATTTTCCGATCAACGGCGTGAAAACTTATTAAAATACGTTACTCAGTGTATTCCTATATAGAAAAAGCGGATGCCAGGAACATCAGGTTGAAAGCGGCAGAGAAAGGGGGTGGTCATATGCTATAAGGATAGGATGTACAGATTATTGTTCTAGACAGGAACTAGAGGAGGTGTCGCCAGTTGAAGCCTCCTGAGACAATCGAGCATCTCGTCTTTCTTGGCTGTTTTGTTAAAGAAGGGATCGTTCTCTGCCTTTCGTCGGTAATATGGTGTCGAGGCGAACTCCAAATGAGGATGGGTAATCTCTCGCTAGCCGGGTCACCGAGGTCTCTATTTACTCATAACTGGTCTCTAGTATACATGAACCTCTCAGAGTGACTCGCTACGTGTAGACCAATTTACTATATTTTCCGAGATTCTACAGGATTGATAGGCGATGTGATGTCTATAGACCAGTTGATTGCTTTTCTCTTATCACAAATGCACAACCTTGCAAAAGTATACCAGTTGATTATGTTTTCCTCGATCTGCCGAGAATTATTGTTACCTTGGATGTTGTATAGTGATCCATAGCGTAGGAATATTCCCAAGCTACTCAGGCTTGATGGAGCCTCGGATGTTACTCTTAAGCTCCCTAGGTATTGAGACTTGATGGTACCTTGGCATTTCACTAGAATGATTGAAACGTCGTTGCCACATTGATATCATCACGAAACACAACCTTGCGCGACCTCCAGAAAAAACCAAGTGCTTTCTTCATTCGCCTGACGTACTTGCCTTCCCGACATTTATCCTTCCACGAATTCACTCTTAAATTAAACGAAGGTCACAGTTCGATTTCCGCATCAACAACGTTACAATTATCTAGATCAGCGCAAGGAACACATACAGAACCTCATCGTATCGTCAATTGCGCCGCAAGCTAGGCTACTAATAAAGTAGCTTTCTCATATTACAGGTGCGTCAAGACCAAAATCGCCCCAATATCCTGTCACCAACAAGTAACAGGCACGATGAGCTCCAAAGCTTCAAAGTGTAGAGCTGAAATCATTTCGGAAATCGACGGCAAGAGCTTAGGCACGCAGGCATCCAAAACAGATGGGAAAAGCGCCAGGATTAAGGAACACGAATCTCACATCAAGCGATATTTTGGGATCCAGATCATGCGCGACAAGCCGATCTTTGTATATCATCCTGACAGTTTTTGGGATACGTTCAAGGGTCAACGCAATTCGAAGAATAAACCCATTGATATCGAGAGTGTCAAGAAGCATATCACAACATTCTATAGAGATTTAGAGTTTAATCTCGTCGACGAGCTGGGACACATTGGTGCGTCGTATGCTGTGGACAGCATGAAAGGCCAGGAAATGGTCGACTTGATGGAGAAGATGATGCCAACTTTCGATAAGAGTACGATGAGTTCCTACGAACGAGAGAAAGCTGAGAACTGCATGCACAACCATGAACTTCTGAAGCAAGCTATGGTGGAAGCTACAACAGCGTTAGAGGCGAAACGATCTCAAGGCATAGCTAAAAAGGCAGAGAAGAGCAAGCTTAGCACCCCTGCACAAAGAAGCATACGTACCACCTCAAATATGGAAGATGAGCTAGCCATGAAAGGTTCAAAATAAGGATCTCAACGATGGGATCGTCTCCTTTTCTAGTCGCCTAGCTACAAATGAATAATACGCTACGTACAAGCTTGATAATGGCTTTTATGACTACCGATAAGATATCAAGGGTCAAGAAAAGGGCAGAATAGAAGTAGTTGATTAGATGAGAGGCGAAACGAATCTTTGGAGGCGCGAGATCGGGTCTACAGCAAGTGTATTCTAAGTGAGTAGAAGAGTGAATAAAGTGGAAGAAGGTGCACATGTTCTAAATCTGGGAGGTACGCTTTCAGCCCACTAGCAATAGTACAGCATCCCATCTATCAAAATGTACTGGATGTCTATTCTGTGTGATCTTGTTCTTTCGGCATCGACTCGACCTTTTCTTCCTCATTCCTGTCTGCTTTTGCCAGCCTCCGCTCCTCTGCAATCACATTGATGTTCTTCCTTTCCATTGCCGCTGCACAGAACACAGCAACACCCGCTGTGGCGACGCCAAAAATGAGGGTCGTGATTGTTGCCTTTGTATAGCTTTGTTTGATTGCCAAGACGACCGATGGGTCTGATGTCAATGATCTGACATTGGTAGCACCTGCAGCAACAACGTCTTTACCTGAGACGGCCGAAGTGTGGCGCGGCACCTCATGAAGAAGGGTGTTTACGAAGACACTTTGGCCCGCGAGAGTGGATATTGCGCTGTTTACAGGTGAGCTTGTGTAACATTAGGAGAGGTCTGTGTCTAGTAAACGTACGGTCCAAGTTGACTCGCTAATGATAGGATCGCTACGACTTGTGTTAGTCGTCATCAAAGAACTCAAAATGCTCAAGTAAATGTACCATTTCCTTCTGGAACTCGATCCTCACTGTACAGCTTGGTTAGCGTCTTGAACGAGATTTAGTGTTATCGGGACATACGGTAGGAAGGCTTGAATGGCGGTAAAAGGCAGCTGCATGCCAGTTCCCAAGCCGATGCCCGCCACAACTAAGTAAGCGGCCCATTCCACGGTAGGGGTGTGCACGTCCAAGCGGAGAAGTAGACCAGTCCCCAGCGTATAGATAACTGCACCCGCAACGGTCCAAGACCACTATGCAGTGTCGTTAGCATGAGCCTCGACAAGCATACGCGAGGGTTTCAACGGCTTTTGAGTAGGTAATGGGGACTCGATCTCACATAGTCACCTGTCTTTGACACAACCGCGCCGGTTAGTCCCACGAATATGATTTGTGGAAGCATGATTGGAATCTGTGCTCCAGTCAGATAGCCACCCGCAAGTTTGATTCCATGTCCTCACATATTGAACACCACTTCTCACAGCAGACACGCCCTGTACTGCCTGGAAGTAAAACGGGATAAAGTAGGTGCAGACGTAGTTGGTCATGTGCTGAAAGAAAAGAAAAGATGAAGATGTGAGGACAGTTCGGGAGAATAAGGTACGTGGTGGGATCATTGCCTTGTCCTGTAACTTTGTCTGCCATAAGCAAAAAAGGGCGAATACAACAGCGACACAAACAAATAGCCCTATTATAGTACCTGAACTCCAGGCGTAGGTCACACCGCCCCATTGTAGCGCAAGCACTAGGTCCATTCGTTTTAGTGTTTTGCATATGCCGGTGGATAGGTAAACTTACAGAGAGCGGTTACCCAGCCCAGGATCAAGACGGCACCAACGGGGTCCATTTCACTCCAAACTAATCTAACAGAGATGCCCTCGTCCGAAACTCGGCTCCTCGTAGGCTGGAAAAAGAAGAGAATGAGGCAGAAGGCGACTCCACCGACGGGCAGATTGATCCAAAAACACCATCGCCAGCCCTATAGTGTTCACAATACATTAGTTTACGATGAGCGGGAATTGGTAGATATGACACATGCTGACTTACTATACCATCTGTGAATGCGCCCCCAAGTGGTGGACCGAAGCAGACTGCAAGCCCAAAAACACTGACCACGAAACCTTGAGCCGCAGCCCGCTTCTCAAGCTCGACGCCGAGAAAGATTAGTTGCAAGGCGCCTTGCATCAGCCCGGCTGCGCCCAGACCCGAAAGACAGCGTCCGAAGATAAAAGCGGATGAATTAGGCGCCAACGCATCTATAAGTGAGCCAATCTCAAAGATGATGATGCTCACGAGATAGACATGTTTGTTATTAACATATTTGTAAAACTTCCCAAAGAGGGTCGGGAATGCTGTCATGGGTAACAAGTAGCCAGAAGCGTACCACCCGGCATCGGGAAGCGAATTGAACTCGGTCGTGATTTTTGGTATCGCGACGGCGAGACTATGACACGAGTGGATTCAGTATCGGTATCTCCTAGCTCAATTCGTACACGAAAGGTAGTACAAGTCTGCAGATAAGAAGAACCTCTTACATTGTCTGGTCGATTGCGATAATCATCGAACCCATCCATAGCCCAAATAGCATCAGCCATAGCTTCCATCCATGCATATATTCGTTGTCCGTCTTTTCTGGCATTTGCTCGTCGCCGGAGCTGGGCGAGACACTTGAGGCAGCTTGAGTCGAGAATGGCACGACATGGCTTTTCTGAGGCTGTTCTTCAGCTGGCGTTCTTGTCTCCATTTTCAATACCGCCTTGTTGAATGTCTGTCCGTCCAAGTGTTGATAATACCGGTGAAGCAAATAATCCAAATAATAGAAACGTACGTAGAACCGCAACAGGGCATTCTTTATGTTCAATGCTCGTCCATTATAAGTAAACAGCCATTAGGGCCAGCCGATATTGCCTCCCAGTCTGAATGGTAATTATCATTTCGGTAGTTGGTGGTATTTGGGTTGAGATCGACCCAGTGGGAATATGCAAGTGCATCGCTCGATTT